TAGTTTTAAATAATTAAAACAGCACTAAGATAACTTTAGCCACTAAATTCTCTGTGAAAAAATGCTGATCATTCTTTAATAAGATCCTCATCAAACGGACATGCAATGTTTGTTTTAGAACCTAATGTGTGTAACCAGGCTCCGACTGGGAACGATTTTCGGCCCCTGGCATTTTTCCATCTACCAGATGGATCTACCAGATCTGCCAGATGTCACTGACTCACTTTTTCCAGCCAAAAAATAGTTTAGAAACCGCCTGGATATACGAAATCTCGCCTAATTTGAACCCAAGTCTATTGATCTCTAAGGCCATAAATCTAAAGAAAAACATTTTTTACCCATAGACGGCCATCCTAAACTGCCAGATTGGGAAACATCCCAACCTGGCAACAATGCATGTAAGATGGAAGCGTTAGCCTTTAGATGCAAAACCCCATCATGCGCCGCAACATATTTTTGCAAAATATTCTAACATAAATTCGCTAAACAAAAGAGGAGCATTGTAGTTTGGTTTAAAGAAAGCATTTTAGTTTATTGTACTTTAGTTTGATGCAAAGATTTTACAGTTTGAAGATATATAAAATTATACCACATGCCAGTCATCACAAAGATGTGCATGACAAGGATGGGCTATGAATACTGCATGCATCAATTAGCTTGTTAACATTGTATTACTCCTTGAGCTTCTTGAGTTATTTACTGTCACAGGTAGGTTCTTCGGCCAGACAGTAAGAGATGGAGCCAGTATGATTTAAGAAAAGCCGGCCCTCTCTCTGTGTGTAACGAACCCTGTGATTGATTTTTTTGTTGTTTTATACACAAACTATGACAAAAATCGGACTAAATCACGAAATAAAACAGCGTGCTTGGATGTAAAGAGAGTGGAGACATAGGAAACCATGTAATACGTATTACTAAGGGTATGCTGGCCTGACTCTGTATGCTGTGCTGACAGAACACCATAAAGTAGCGCTATGGGTCACATGACTCATTCAAAGATTTCTCCGATCCTTTCAAGGTACATGTGTGTGTTTTTAAGAAGAGCAGCCCGCACAGATCATAGATGCCTAATATTGAATATAAATGATTATTGACCTAAAAAAAACAATTTGATACATTTAAAAACGAGACTATAACTAAAGTTATGCAGAATTGCTTTAAAGCAGAATAATTTTAGGTTTTTGAAACTTGGACATCACTTGATATTTTAAGTTAATTACCGTTTGTCGAGCTGCATTACATCAAGAGGTTTTTTAAAAGAAAGCAAACTCACCAATTCCTCTGTATCTGGGAGGGTTAGCTTTCTCATCGAGCTGCAGCTGTGTTTTCACGTACTCCGTTGGGAAGGTGATGCAGATCTCAATGCCTCCTGCAATGCCACCTGAATGAACAGAAAACATCTGGTTTAGGATGGTTTCCTCTGGCCAAACCCAAACAAACAACCCATCACGGTTCAGCCTACGAGGAAAACGAGACTTTCTGTTCACACAGTGGTCAGGCTGCATCATATGGGGTAAAAAAAAATCACCCAGTTTAGGGTTTTTCAAAAGGAATACATAGAACAAAAAATAATGTATTTGATTATCATTAATGTGATAAATCTAGCTGAAGGTTTCCCAATAAAGCTAAACTGTTTCTGTACAGATAGGGTAAGTAAGTAGCCCGTTATAGTATTTTCCCATTTTAAAAGATGTGTGTCAATAAAAGTACAAACCCACTAACTCACAGAGGGACTTTAACTGGACTTAACTGGACTTTAACAGTCACCAGCTTCTCCAACACAAACAGATCTATTCAGCTTTAGCACCTTGGAAAAGGATTCAAACCTCTTCACATCTTCTCTCACTTGTACAACAAAGTTCAATTTATTTCAGTTGGCGCTAAGTCTGGACACTATAATCAATTTTATCGATTAATTACATTTGTAGTTTATTAATGATTACATTTACAAAAATACATACAAAAAAGAGTGAGAGAGAAGAATATTGGGTAATGCTTTCTTTTGAAGTTCACCAATAACCATGTAATAACATGGTAATATGATATTACTTGGTAACAAGAAAAACTTTATTTGGTAAAAACCCCAAAATTAAGGTGTATATGCAGGTAATTACCTGCATGCAATTATTATATTACTATATAACAATGAAGACTGCAGCTTACAAAGTGAATTGTAACTTGATTTCAGATTAATAAAGCATTATAAAACTGAACTGAAGTTACATATAAATAAGAGTTTAATTAAGAAGATTGGCTTGCTAGGTTTGGTTTTCTGTTATATGCCAAGTAATAAACTGCGTTTTACTAGATAAAAATACATTAATTTATTGCTGCCGGTGAAATGGCTGAGTTACCTGTTAATAACCAAAGTCTGACTTAACCTTGTTTGCCTAAAATTTGAAGCACATTACTTTCCAAAATTCTTCATAAAGCGTTTCTTGTTACCTAGCAATATAGTATAACTTGCTATGTTATGCCTGAAACATGACCTATTGTCACTTGTGCAATATTCTTTTCCAACTTTGCAATTACACATGCCAACTTGTGTGTAGTCTGTATAATTTCTACTTATTTATATGGTCAGTGCATTTCTGCGGTGCAAATGCAATAATTAAGTCAACTCCTGTGTACTCTTTCCTTAGCTCTTTACTGTGCAGAAATTTTTATATCTGAAGGAAACATATTCCAGGACATTACGTTTCTTAACCTTTTTTGTACTATAGACACTCTTTTATATTATTGTCTTTTGTATTTTTATCTTTAATGGGATCTTGCTTTAACTCTTTGTACTCTATAAAAGCTACTGGAACCAGAATTTCCCTGAAGGAGTAATCCCAAAGGATAAATAAAGTTAGTCTAAGTCTAAAAATATTCAACTTACAGAAGGAATGATTAAAAGAAAAGTTATTTATTTCCTTTCTAGTTTGTAATTATAAAGAAAAAAAATGTTAGTTGGATTTGGTATTGAAATAACATTTTATTTTTAAACCAATTTGGCCCCACCTATGTTTCAGCGAATCTATTACCAATTTAAATGGCGTAAAGTGGTGCATAATAGTCAAGATAATCATTATGATAATCAAAATATAAGTCAGTCAGTATTTTTCTTTAAATAAGTGTATTTTTAAGTATGGGATGGGAAAATATGATTTATAATGAAAAAAAACCCAAAACATTTTATTTTAAGGTAATAATATCCGATAATCCTATTTCAATGGCATAAATTCTCATTTTATTGTTCTTTATCTTATTTACCTGCTCAAATTAAGGACAAATACACTTATTATAAGGTAATTTTTTACCTATCAGTTTTGAAAAAAAAAAAAAAAGTTATCAGGCATATATTCTAATGAAATCCCAAATACTTTACAACTAAATGAGATACAGAGCAGCTACTTCCTTAGAATATCTGGTTCTATGACAGTTTGTTGCATTTGCAATAAAGTCCCTATTAAAAAAAAATACAATTTTCAAATCTGATTAAAATTACAGTCTTGTTACATTACAGACACTAACTTTTTTCCCTCCAGCCTTTTAGGTGGTGGAAATGGGCTCAGGCCACCATACAGAAGGGAACATAGAGCTGCAGCTGATAAGGGGGAAGTGATTAGTTTATGATACAGCACTAAAGAGAAAAGAATCAACCTCTGCAGCATAATCATGTATACTATTGTGATTGGTGCAAACAAAAACAAAAAAAATCAACGGCTTAACAAAATTGCCAAATATCAACATTTTTTTTTTTAACAACGCAAAAATTTTGATTTTTGTTCTCTTAAAGCTGGATCAAAGCATTATAAAATAAGCAAATTAAGTAATAATGTAATTTGATGACCCCAAAATGTCAGTCTCTAGTGAGGACCATGTGTTGACTCCCATTGATTTTCAGTTATTTTCAACCTTTTCTATGCCCTACCCCTAAAACTTACCCTAAACCTACCCTTTACCAATGCATACCTCACCCTAACCCTAACCAACTGACACCTTAGCCCTAAACCTAACCATTAGCAAAATAGCATGTGAAGACCGGCTAAATGTCCTCACTTTGCAAATACTGGTCCTCAATTTGATGGAGAAATTGGTCCTAGACAGGTACACACACAGACACGTGAAAACCCTGTTTATAAACACATTTTTTGGTGATAATATTTTTTTCCCTTTTATTTATTCTTTTTTTTTTTTGTTTTTTTTTTTATATATATATATATATATTTATATATTTTTTTTTTATTATTATTAATTAGTATGCATGTTCCTGAATGTTGTGGATATACCCTTAAATTAATAGCTAAATCATATCAACTCAGTCAGAATCAATGTAAAATAAAGAATAATGATACAAAAGCTAAAAAAGAAGTAAAAATTCCCATCTTTAAGAATCTATAGTTATAAAATATAATCAATGTAAACACCCAATAAAATACAACATGCTTGAAAAACTTAACATTGCACAGGATGTAAGAAATACAGAGAAAAAAACCCAGATGATTAGACAGAGAAGGAATTGTCAACGAAGTCGATGCTGGACTGAATGCCTCCAGTAGAGCAGTTCCACCTTAAATGAGTCGCTGTCACACATCTGCTGTTAAACAGCAAACAGGGAGCTGGTAGCTGATTGGATGAGCTGCTCTCAGCATGATTCTGCCCTCACATACTCCCCTTGGCCCTGTTCAAAGTGCAGGGGATGTGTAACCTCCAGATCAGCACTGTGCACCACATTAGTGAGCACAGCAGATCCTGTGTGTGCGAGTGCAAGCATTCTTGAAATGCGCACAAGTCGAACTTTAAAAACTCTCAGTTGAAGAATAAAAAGCTTGAACTGATAAAACAAGAGGCAGAAATAACATTTTATATCATATAATAGTTTATCATTAAAAAAATCTCTTTTAAAGAACTTCTTTTGCTTTAACTTACATGTACACTTATGGATTAAAAAGGATGTAGTATGTTGATGCTCCTAACATGCAACCCCCCAACAAAAAAAAATATAAGAATGTATCATGCAGTGAAGTTCAACACAGCAGTGGTTCAAGCAAAAACACAAACAAGTCAGGATTTTGTGCAGAAGCAAAAATCACAAGAAAACGGCTTTCCCAAACCATGGTTTGCACAAAACTTTCTAGTGTTTTATGGGTGCCAGTTCTGAGGAACAAACGTGCTGTTAAGACACACCCAGGCAGTGGGTTGTTTAGTTACAGGCTGGTTCCAAAGCTACAAATTAAACCGGGATCAAAACCACAGTGCACAACACAGTCATTAAGAGACAAACTCTGAGCAGTACCTGCAGCGGTCCACATATTCAGGCTGGGGAAAGACAAAGAATGAGCATGTGTTCTGTCAGTTCCAGGATCAGTTGAGCAGTAATCTGCTGCTAGATTCTGTTGCAGAGGATTTATAACAACAGGAAAGTAAACCTATTATGATAATTAAGCTTTCAATGCAGTAATAATAGCATTCCTATGCTACTCTATGCAGATGCTCTGTCTGCACTGATGAAGATTAGATGATCTTGGTATGCTGATTATTTGTTGTGGCTCCTTCTGACACCAGTAGGAATATAATATAAATATGTAACAAAGTATCATCATAAACAATATTTATTAAAATGCCAGGATGTACCTTTTTAGTCAATTACAAATAAAATACACCCTACTTTTACACATTTGGAAACAGTGTGACAGCACTTAAATATATTAATAATTAGTGGAGGGTTTCATTCTCTCTGCTGTCTTCTCAATAGCAAAGATTATGTTTTGATGTCTGTATCAATTTATTGGGCTCACTATAGATCTCTAGACATCTGCATGCAGCCAACCCTTCAGTAACTACTTTAGCAGTGAACACAGGCCACTTCCAGTCAAAAGGTGAAGCCAAACAGGGAAAAAAAAACAAAGAAAAAACTAAAACAGATTATAAACATTAAAAGGTATAGAGGATGATCTTTTGGATCATCTAAATAAGTTGTTCTCCTGATTGTCAGTCATTCTGGTTATATGTGTGCGTACTTGCTTGTCCCGTTAGCTATCTTTTTCTGTGCTTTCAGGCGTATATCTGTGGTGAGCTACGGTTTCAGACAGTCATTGAAGCTCACTTTTCTCAGCGTGGTTTTTTGAAAATGGCCGAGGGTTGGAAGAGAAAAAGTGTCTACTAAGTGTATGAGAAGAAAAGAAAGGCCTCAGAAGAGGCAGATATATCCCAGAATGCTTTGCGCTGGGAGCTCTCCTCGAAAAGCATTATGGGATTTGCTGTCACAGCGGCTCGCTGTCGCCATAGGCTGTTGTTACCCGACAGCGGCGACTAATAACAAAGATGGTGCAGGCATCGCACAGTGGAGGAGGAGTTACGTGAAAAACGGGAAGAAAAAAAGCAGTAATCATCTAT